TCTATCGAAAACGTTATATTTAATATGAAAACGAGTGGAACAAAAAAAAGTACATGGACGATGGGAAATCCACTTGTAAACATACGTTTCCTCATTGGTAAGGTTCTTAATGTCCATTCGCAAAATCATAGATTGAAATGAACGCTCCCATTTTTTCCTTGGAATCCCGAAAAATGTCATCTAGAAATATAACATTAATGTTCGCTCATAAGATTCGCACATTTTTTTCATGTGGGACGAATGATATGACTGATGAAATTACACGCAAATGCACTTGTCCCGAACGTCTTTCATTTTGCTTATATCCCTTAACGTCATTGAGAATAAATAGAAGCAAATTATGATGAAAGCAATTGATTTTTCCATGAAAATTGAATTCACACATACATCAATGGCACATAAAAAAGTCCAACTAATTAAATCATTATTAATCAAGTTATCTTCACTCCCACGCCTCGATTCAATCGCAACTCAAAGCAGAGCTCGGTAATAAATTGAAGTTGACGGATCAAAAACCACCAATTTCACGAGTCTCTCGGTACGAGTGGATCCTTCTTGGTATTAGGAGTGAACAGTGAATCACTCGTCGTGACACCGTTTTCAACTTAGCATGCGATCACAAATAAATTGAAAAGCCAGACGTGCATAATATTTTAGAGATTAATTGAAAACTGTATTTCATTTTATTAGAACGAAGTTTCCTCCTCTTCGATGTGAGTTGAGTCTCTTTCACCAGAGTGTAGAATATGATTTGAATAAGTTTCGTACAGGTACAAGTACCGTTCGGTTTTTCAGTCATTTTAATTTTTTTCTCTCTTGTCGCGGCTATAAAATCCATATTGACGACAACCTAGACGACAACATTCGACCTGCCTCTAGTGGTCATACATGCTTATATGATTGAAAATTTCCCAAAAACACTCTTACAAGGAATTACAATACCTTTTCTGCCCTTCACTTTGCTTCAATGAGTGGAAAGAATCAGTGTTTGTTTAGTGAATTCCCAGCAACATGGGAATAAATCTAAAAATAACACTTTCAACTGCCATGAATTTTCTCAATGCGGTCGTTATCATTCACCCTTTAACTAACGGTTGAACCATGTTTTTCCTCTTCGTTCGAAATTCATTAGATTTTCACATGGAATTGAATATGGTACGTGAGCATTTTTCACGCATCATCATCATCAACATCGTACATCAACACTAAACCGTTTCAAGTGCCTATTCTACAAAATGCATAACATACTTTCGCTTCGCTATTTTATGTGTCGAGAGATCATTTTTAAGCACACACAAACACACACAGAAAAAATGGGAGGCGAGTGAAGAGCTAACGATTGATAGATGGGATTGGTGAATTCGGCGAAAAACCTCTTTAATTTATTATCAATCTCGAGCACCTAAAAACAGACATAAAAATAAATGTCACCGAAAAAAAACATGTGAAATGGCTGATGTCAACCAACGACGACCTAATAGCATTTTCAACGTCACCAATATCATTCGATGATTTTATGTGTTTCGATCCATGATGCTCATCAGAAAGATTAAACTTCCTGGATTTTGGGTTGCCTTTTTTTCGGAGCAAAACCAAAAACTTTCTCAAACAACTTGAATGAATTATCAAAAGCGAATTATTGTTGGCAGCTTTTTGCAAGCGTCCCACCCAAGCCATTATGGTGGAATTTTATCAGTGAGAAAAATTTAAGAAAAAAAACTTGTCTTTGACACATCCCTTGAAGGGAGAGAAACGCGTTTCGAAAAAATGTGCATTTATTCATTAAAAAATTGGTCACAGTAGCAACAAAAGACAAAAAAAAATGATTTTAGCCGAAAAATATGGGAAAATCCATAATGCAAATATTTTCTCGATGGTATTTGCGCTTTCGAACAAATATTTTTTTTATTTATACTATTTTTGTTGGCATATGTGTGGTGTCATATGACAAATATACCGCACATTCGAAAAAATTGAACGTTCAATTCGGAATTCAGTGCAAAATCATTTATACGAGAGATAGAGAGAGAGAGAGAGAGAGAGAGAGAGAGAGAGAGAGAGAGAGAGAGAGAGAAATTATTTGATTACAAATGTTTTCGGATCATGTTCGTTTTATCTGACATTTGTGTATATTTAAAAACTATTTTTGATGCATATGATAGATTTATAAATTCAGCATTAATCCAATGATATGAATTTTTTACACACCACCAATTAGTTGGATTGAAATGTGACATATCGAATAGTTTTTGTTTCAGTAGTGCGACGATATGCTAGGGGCATTTCTCACTTAAAAAATGGAACCATTCCAATAAATATTGAACAATTTCTTCCATTTCTATCAATTCGGGTAAATGGATACACATTTACACTGAATGTGTGAAATACGTTCGCAGTATGAAGCTTAAGTACGTAATACTTAGCATACTTAACCTTAAGTACGTACTTAAGCTTGATACGTAAGTACGTTAAGTATGTTAAGTATGTTAAGTACGTACTTAAGGATGACAATCTTTATACTTAAGCTTAGGTACGTACTTAAGATTTGTACTTGCTAACAGAACCGAATTTATGAAATTGCAGTGAATTCACCAAAATGTTTTAGAATTGACTGGAATGTAGTAATTTGGTTCACATTAAATTTGACAATTCCAGACAATTTCATACATTTTTATACCATTTCAATGGGAAAGAAGAAATATCTTAAATTCTTGCACATTCGTTTCAATTTTTTGCGTGAGAAATGCCCCTAGACGATATGATATCGTTGTTAGAATTGTGTTAAAATTACAATAAATCCTCCATCAATATTGAGCTGGTTGTCGGTATTAAGTTAATACTATTAACCCTCTAATGCATACCTATAACCGCCTTTAGACGGGCAACATTTGAATGCCTGTAGAACGTAAAACGTACATCGGATCAAATTGCTTCAAAGGGAATTTTTATTCGTCAATGTTTTCTCTTTATTTTTGTCTTGGCAATATTTGTCTATGTAGTCTAATTGTAAAGTTACAAACAAAAATGTGTGCAAAAACAAAAATTTGACAAAATGAATTATTCGAACTTCAAATTAGACACATTTTTGACACTTTTAAACGATGAATTTGATTGTTCTCTGATTTATGTCAGTCGCATTTCCTGACTAAACCATGAGGAATTCAGGATTATGAATATTTTTTTAATTATCTATGGCCAAAAATCAACCAAGTACCAGTACTCCCAGCCCTGGGAAAAATTAATGCATAGAGGGTTAAATTTGTTTTCAATTAACGGGATTTCAATTTGTTCCACAACTTTGCGTATTACCCATGGGGAAAATCAATTTCATAAAATTCGATCTCGACTCATCATATTTCATTCACGCCATACAGCGCGGTTATTGGGGATGAGTGAAAGCATGATTCATATTTTGAATATGCAGAAGGAAATATCAATCAATTGAAAATTAATTAAAAATTTCAAACGAATCGACATTTATTTTCACTGCTGGAATCATGTTTTCCAAGCATATACTTGCTGTTTTCAGCGAAAAAATGACTCATTATCAAAGATGCGTAAGGATATTAAAAAATATCCAGTCATTATTTTTCTCTGTTCGGTGAATGAAAAGGCCATTTTCAAAATGGTAATTGCTTGGGATCGCTTCACAAAAATTGGCTTTCAATCAAGCACTCAATGGCTTTATGCTCTTTGAATCATTCCCGTGTGGAAAAAAAATGACTGACTGACTTTAGATTCAGTTGACTGTAGAGTTGATTGAATTTATGTTTTTGTATGGAGAAAATCACTTTGTCCCAAAATAAGCAATTTATTTTGACTTGTAACTTTAAACGATTTCAGTTAACTTGGATAGACTTACACTACATGTTGTACTGAAATGTCAATCAAAGTAAGTCATTTTTGTCCGAAGTTAATTAACTGACTGATCAGCTACAATATTTGCACACGGGTCGTTTTTATTCATTAACGCATTTCAAATAAAATGAGAATAAAAGAGAATTTTCCATAAAATCCGATACACATTTTCGACGTTCCCTTTGACAACGTCAATCAACTAATTTTTTTAAAAACTATGTCGACGAAATTAGTTTTCTTCCTTGTCGGTGGAAAATTTTATTGATATAATTTGAATCATATTTCTATGGGTGAGATTGAGAGTGGAGTATGTTTTTTCTTCGATTTATATTTTTGAAAAGGCGAGTATGTTTTCTGATGATTCTGTTGGCGTTCAAGTAGAGTATGTTGTAGTACCGTCTAGCCTCCGCGGTCTTCATGGTTTTCACGCAACTGATAAAAGATAACAACATGGTGTCTTCAGCAAAGTTGTAGTACTTGAGGTCTTCTATAACTAAGCTGAAGACAGTTATCTCTTATCTCTTATCAGTTGCGCGCAAATCGCGCACATAAAATAGCAAATTTTATATAGAACTTTTTTTCTTATCATTTTTCGCGCTTTTCGCGGAACTGATAAGAGCTAAGAGATAACTGTCTTCAGCGATGTTATAGAAGATCTCGAGTGCTGCAATTTTGCCGCAGACACCAAGTTGTTTTCTCTTATCAGTTCCACGGAAACCGTGAAAACCGCGAGGACCCGCTAAAAACGAACATACTCGCTTTTAACCATTTTTAAGTCGACAGAAACTTGCTCTTCTCTTTCGTAACAAAGTCAATCAAACATACACTACTCTCAATCTCACCCATAGATTTATGAAATTGAAAAAAAAAAGTCTTCATCACTTAAGGGTATTTCAGGCCAACGAAAAACATACGATCAGAAAAATGCTCAATTCCAATAAGGCAACTATTTTCACTAGGAATTGAAAAATTAATGAGAAAAGTTATGACTTCTAACGAGGAAGAGATTTATTTTTGCGAATTCCATTCTTTTTTCACAATCATTATAATTTTTCGAATACTTTGCACGTTCAAAGCAAACGTCATTAATGTGGACTCTGAAATGAAACGAAAAGAATAAAAAAGAAGTTGTTTGTTCTTACGTCCATTTTGTTTGTGTGTGTGGGTTTCAAAAATGTTCTTCAAAATGTTTTATGATCCAATTTATTCCAATAAGTCCGTTGATGTAAATTGGTGCTGAAAACGTGCCACTTTTCAATATCAAATTGATTGTACACAATTTGATCAAATAATCACAAGCAAAGTGCACCACAAGATTCTTTTGTCATTGAAAAAAAAACGGTTTTTTTGTCACTTCTATCTTTTTGTGTGTGTGTCGTGTCGTTTGTTCTGTCGATTGGCAACAAACAGCAAATCGAAATGTTTTTCAATGGTAATAAATCACTTAAAGAGTACAATTCAAACTGATGTCAATCACATTTCACTGTTGCACGATTTCGCACAAATGCAATTCAAACACTACTGCCGACTGATATAACAACCAAATCCAAATGCACATTTGCTAAATCTCATTCACTCGTTGAGTAAAGATCACCGAAAAGATGGCATAAACTAGTATTGTGAAAAAAACGGGACGTAAATACACATGCACACATCCGAGAAGAAAAGAGCAACGAAACGAAAGAACGAAAAAGCAAACCATTCAATCAACTTGAATTCGCTGTAAAATATCCGATGCTCAAAGCACAATTGGATCTATGTCAAAGTCTCTCCGTGCACAGTTGCTATGTCGTTTTAAAAAGAATTGTTAGTGATCAAACATCGTCGTTCACTTTGTCGGATTTATTGAATTTTTCGATGGCAATGCAATATTTCTGGAGGGGCGAAAAACACATCGATAATTGTGTTCGTTTACTTCGATTTATCACTGTTATTTGGCAGTATTCACACAGACAACAACCAAAACTAAATAGATATTCAAATAATCCCCTTTTTTGCAGTCTTTTCACTTTTCAAACATCGAAATGGGTCAAATGATTGCACACCAATCATTTCCTTTCACTTTGTTAATTTCGTATGCATGATGCAACGAATAAATTACTTCCGATCGATTCGCTTGAATTTTTCTCCGACTCTTTCACGCAACTTTATATACTCTCTCTTCACCATTCGGAAAAATCAAATATTTCACTCGCCTTATACAATAATTTCCATTCACATTTCCTAGATATTTTTCGTCGAATTATTTTCACGTCAATGATCGAACATCACTTGAACTCGCTTTCACAATGCAAATGTAACGTATATTTTTTGGTAAATGTGTCGACATGTGATGAAACGATATACGCCTAACGTCTTGAATATTCCACAGTCAGTGCGATACTAAAGAATCAGACTGAACCCGGGCACAAACCATAGAAACGGCGGAACATTTGAACCAACTGAATTGAGTATTATACTGTGTGACAGGCATGCTAAGCAAATCTCTCTCTCATTTTCGTTTTCTCTCTCTCGTTCCGTGTGTGTCACTGTGCGTATACATTTCCATTGAGCGCGCAACGTACGAGATATGCCGACCGTGGAGAAAAAGCACAAACAATATTATTTAAGGATATTTCGATTTAAACGTTGACTGCCACACTAGACCGAGAGAAACGCACAAGTGACACCAACAACATAGCGGTAAATAGACAAACATGTGTACATGTTAACTAAAACTCATTCTCTCTTTCTCTTCGCTCACAAATACAACGACACGCTTTGCACTCAATCCGGTTTTTCACTCAAACATTTTTCCGTGCGAAGCAATTTCAGTCGAGCAGACAGATAGAACCGTTCATTGCTTATCAGAAATAGAACAGGGTGAAGCGAAGTGGAATTGAGTGATTTTCTTTCCCCTGAATTTATGAGTGAAACATTTGGAGTCGCATTGAATGAAGTGCACACATGTGTGAGCCGGTTTCATTCGCTACGCTCTTCTGATGGAATAATATGCCATCAGTGTCGTTGAACACAGTCACGGAAACATTCGTCGTTTCCAACCAAAATTGCAGCGCCCGAATTGCAGTGTGTTGTTATTTCAGCTTTTTGTCCTCGTTGCAATCGGTAACGGCATGTCGTTCGTAACAAGTAAAATGTTTCTCTCGTTTTCCGAATCCACCCACTGTTCGGTCGACAGCCGAGGCACAGAAAAAAATCTGCACTTTGGCACAGATTTGATTGCATGTATTACGGGTACAGTCAGTCTCTGACTGAGAAATGGGAAAACATTCTTCATAAAGTGCAGCATTCAAAAATGTGTGTTTCTAAAAAAGAATGACCCAAAATACATAGTGCCGATGCATCGAATTTCATTCCCTCTTTGACGACATAAAAATGTTTCTGTTCAGTATGTGCGTCGCTGCGAATTCTTTGAAAATTGAGCCAAACGCGTGGTCAATGCATTCACTTGTTGTTTTTTTCTTTGTCCTCCTCTCGTTCTCCTTAACCGTCGACAAAGGTTCGTAATCAAGTAAATGCATCGCCTCCATAAAATATTCGAAATATTGTTTTTGTGTACTTTGATACCCGTTTGCCCGGTAGTAGTGGCGTGGTAGCAACCGAGCATTTTCGATTAGTCTAAATCACAAGCGGCAACGTCTATGGCCGTGTGTTTTTATTGAAATGCATTCATAATGGATGTATGCGTGTGTATGTGTGCGCGTGTGTGCCTCATTGCCATAAATGTTCCATGTCATCAAAGTAATGTTTATGAATAAAAGAGGTTGGAATCCATTCATAACCAGCAACAGGAGCAGCAGCTACCAGTGAAATGGCCATAAGCACACGCATTTCACTTCGGTTTAGCATTGGTTAACGGAAGACGACGATGATGATATGAGCAACACATCTACACTGAATCACATTAGCCATGAACAAAAATAGCCAAATAAAAGAATCAAATAAAAAATTCAACTTATGCGTACATATTTTGTTCGTTTTCATTCTCGTTTTTGTCTGCCAAAACATACGCATACACATCACATTCACCCGAATTTGCCGCATCAACGGTGGTGGCAGAAGATACAAATGTGAAGTCGTTTGATGCGTAAAATATACGTTTGCAAGGAAGTGTGTGGCAAGGAGTCGAGAGACGAAACCACGAGAAAAATGGAACACTTCACGAAGAAAAGGAAAAATGTATAACAAAAATAGTAATCATATCGACGAAGAAACAATTGTACGGAACATTCCAATCTTTACTTAAGTCAATTGCCATCATTTGATGCCGACTTCTTGGCATTTCCGTTCAGGATTTGCATTTTTGCCCATTTCAAATAACCGTTTGAGAGTTGAATTCGAAACGGCAAAGATTAAAGTTGCATTTACAATTTCGATGGCCATGGGTTCAACACAACAATGACGATGCCTCCCATTCCCAGAGACTGAGAGAGACCGAGCGAATGAGAGCAAAAAGTTCAAATTTTCTTTGTACTGAATTTGAACCGAATAAAATGACTCTGTTGGCCCATTCACATCACATCAAATATTCAAAAACGAGCGAGCAAAAGTGAAAGAGAGAGAAAAAAAGCAGTCAACGCACTTCACCGTCAAATATAACTAAGCATAAAACTTACAAAAGCACGTGAGCCTGTGCACTGAACTTTAACGTCCTTCACAATGAGAACACGTATAAATTCACATACTGTGCGAAAGGATGAAGTGGCTCATGAAACTCGACGTATGTACCGGTGCTGGTTCTGCTTGTTGTGCATGCCATTCATGACTACGGAAAACATCTATTGAATGTGGTTCGTTTTTTTCTTCTTCTGTGAACAAGAAATTTTGTTTGGTTAATCCTCGTACGATATGTATGTGCCGGCGTATAAGGTGAAGAATCAAAAGTGTTTGTTGAATGTCAACCGATTCGAATGACGAAGTGACTCGTTCTTCAAATTTTGCTTTGACAACGTCAAATGAACTCTCTCGTGAACTTTTCACTTTTCTATTCATAATATTTGTGTGTGTATTTTTTTCGAGATTTTTGTGCAGATTTTTTTTTCACTTTTGCACAGACTGGGTTTGTTTTTGGATCGTACGGATTTTATCTGTGTGAAGATGCTTTTTCAATACAATTTGACGCGAAGGTTCAGAGGGAAAGATAAAAATCACAAAATGGCATGGACGAAGAGAGAAACAAAGAGCGAACTTTGTCTCACTTGAAAAATAAATTCGAATGGAGGGGGAAGTGGGAGCTGATGGAAATTGTCCACCAGAGAGTCCTACACATGAACCATTCAATGAAAATGGCACAAATGTACGAACATTGAGACAAAAAACCACCATGAAAACGCGCTCGATGTGCTGTAGAGAAACATTTTTCCTCTCAACTTTCATCCGACTCTTGCAGTGAATGTGATACATACATACTCTCTCTCTCTCTCTCTCTCTCCCTGTTGGACATGTAATCTAGATGCATGCCACTCCGATATGTATGCGAAAATGAAGTGTGCAAAGGGCTTGAAATATTAAAGTAAACGACAGCAAAACAAACATTAAAAACGTGTACACGAATTTACATTTACAAAAGCTGTTGACATTTAACCCTTATTTTCTTTGCTCGTTTTTTGTTTCGCATTTTGACTTGTGTGCGTTAATATGCATCGCAATCACTGTGTACCGTGTATTTGAGTTGGTTTTGGTCGCGCGCTAGGTGCACAACCGCAAAGTTGACAAATATTTGCCCCGGTGTGTATTCATCCATTGAATAGTCTCAAATGTGAAGTACCCAATTGACATTCGAATTGTGACTCTGGTTCTAATCACAACGACAACATGTTCCATTGATGGTCGAAGCTATGGCGAAATGATGTACAATGAAACATGTGAAATCAGACAATAATTCTAATTATTGCACATCTTCAATCATTTCCACTGAAAAAGTTCAATCTATGGCTACCTCATTGTTGTATTCCACAATGCACAACTCTTTATTTCAATTGAATCTTCACAGTTTTGCCATTATATACGGCCAATGATTTTATTTTGTACAAAACGGTATGGATCAAAGCACATTGACCGCTGTTGCAATGAAATCCCTCAATTCGCATGCACTCGATTAAATACATGGTAATATTACAGTTCCACTGCCGCGTCATTAGCTATAAATTATCGGTTTTGCTTTCATCTTTGTTTCAATCTATTTGATTTAATGGGCTTTGGGTATAAATGCACACGGCTCATATTCAATCAATGGAATCTCTTTATACGTCATTTTGGATTCGCAAATCAATAACACAAAACAACCACTATTTCCAATGACTCAAACCATTTTCCGGTATAATGGCATGCGTATTCATAGTGAAAATTCAATCAAACCACGATGAGTGAAGAGTGTATTTTATCATCATCATCAGTTGGCACACATGATCCGAAAAATACACACACACATTTTTATCACCGCATCATCATCATCACCAGCAGCAGCAGCAGCACAAGTATCGTCTCGTTCGTACCCATATTATGGTTATGCGAGCACGTCAAACAGGAACATTATATAAGCAACAACACAACTGCTTGTTATTCATATTGATTTTCATTGAATTTATAGACATATTATGATTACTGTCTGTTTTCTCTCTTGATTATAATAAATTCAGAGAAATCTGCTGTTTTTTCTTGTTATTTTTGGAAATTCATAAGAATGAATCGTTAAAAAGATCCATTTCGATGTAGAGATATCGGAAGGCTGCCGAGTTATTTTCTTTTTGAATATGTGGAAAATTACAGCACAATAAATGGAGGTATAGAGTTTGTAACAATTCACCTCTACGAAACAATTCACCACCAACGTGGTGTTCCAACAAAACCGAAAATCGGTTATTCTGCCAACAGTTTTGCAGGAAGATTTATTTGAAAATTTTAAATATTCGAGAGAACAGAGAGAGAGAGTTTGAAAGATGTCGAACCGACAACGAGGGCCGGTTGTGATATGCGGTTTGTCGAAAATGGGATGTACAGTACACTGCTGTGTTTGCATTGAATTATAAGTTTATTGTGGTGATTTTCCGGCTTTTCAACTGTTTTCGGGTTTCATTACTGCAATAAATCCATTTTAATTATGCGATCATCCGAGTAAATGTTTGCTGATTTGATTTGAGAATTTTGAATTTTGTTTTTATATGATGCTGCATCACTGCGTCGACCGTTGACTGTTGAATAATTTAAATTCAAAATCTCTTCTCGAGATATTTTATGCGCCAAATAAATACGGTTCAAGTGAAACAAATTCTATATCAACAGAAGCGTCTTCGTCTCGTAGTTCAATCATATTCATTGAACGATGAAATCTGTTTACATTTATTGGGCCATAGAAATTGATATTTATTCGTTTTAGCCCGTTTTTCTTTTCTCTGCTGGGTAATAATTTCATAAAGATATTTGTTAGTGTCACCGAGTCGATGTCTCACATCAAAATGTGACACAAAAAAATGCATTTAGACACATTCATGACGAGAA